AGCCTGCTGCACAAGCCATGCCCGCCTTCTGGAAGTCTACAGCCTGCCCACACTCACTGCGGGGCCTCTAGGTCTCCCCAAGCTGCCGAGGGGCTCTAGGCCTGTCACCCTGAAGACAGTGAGGAGCCTTAACAGCCTGGTCTGGGGATATGCAGCCCTATCGTGAAGTTCAGGTTTAATGGAGGCGGCTTAGCCGTGTCCCTCACAAGTTCCTTGATGGCTCAGAATCTGCCTGTAGTGAGGGAGACCCAGGTTTGATCCCCAGGTCAGGAAGATCCCTTGGAGAAGGGAATAGCAACCCACTCCAGTATTCTCTGGAATGGAGAATTATTCCACGGACAGAGGAGCCTGGCGGGCTCGAGTCCATGAGGTCACAAAGAGTCGGACACGACTGGGTGGCAAACACACACACACCTGCAAGGTCAACAGTGTGCACACATGGACACGCACGCACACACGCGCACACACACACACACACACTCTCTAGAAAGGTCAACAGCCCAGCCCAGCAGCTGGGGATAGTTACACTGTCTGAACTAAAGCAGCAGGGGCTCAGATGCACCAAGCCCCATCTCAGTGGTCTCAGGAAGAAAGATTTATAAAACAAACAAAATGGAAGAACTGTTAAGTCTTCAGAGCTGAGGGGTAAGCCTTCCTAATCAGTCCTTATTGTCAGGAAATGGAGCAGCACACAGGGCGGCTCACTAGACTCATCTGTTGTCCTAATGATGCTGCTGAGACCTCGCAAGACTCAGCCCCGGAGAGGGAAGAGGAAGGCGGCTGTGAACATGAGGGTCCCTCACCTCTCACCTGTGCGGGCCCCACCAACTCTGTGCACAGGAGCCTGGACCCTGGGCTTAGATGGTATGGCTACGGTGAGAAAAGACTGTTCTAGATTGAGTCCCAACTAGGCAGAGGCTCCTCCTGCGAGGCCCAGGTCAGGGCCAGGACAGGGTTCAGGTGTGAAGGGCGCCTATGGACAACACTGGAGGGAGAAGCATGGTGTTGGTTTTTAATACATAAATACGGACTTGGCTGTGCCAGGTCTTAGTTGCAGGATGAGAGATCTTCGATCTTTGCTGCGGCATGCAGGGTCTTTAGTTGTGGCACGTGGGATCTAGTTCCCTAACCAGGGATTGAACCTGGGCCCCCTACACTGGGAGAAAGGAGTCTTAGCCACTGGACCACCAGGGAAGTCCCCACGCTTGGTGTTCTAATGCCAGGTCCATCCATGGGGGAGCAAAGGGAAGGAACTTTATTTGTCAAAGCCTGCCTACTAGGTACTAAGGCCTCTGCATGTCAGAGAACTAGATGCCCCCGGCTTCCAGGGGACGACCCCCACCCCTCTTCCATTCCAAGGTGAGAGCTTCCAAACATCACTAGCTTTCAGGGAACAGTTACCTGCCCGTTGTAACTGCACTTCCTCCTGCCAGAAGGTCCCTGGGAAAGTCCAGCCTAACAGAAAGGACGTGGTTCTTTTCCAAGGGGTCGATTAACTGCAGACTGAGCATGAGGATACATGGTTGAAGGATACAGCTAATGGAGGTGAACAAAACCATCTGCTGAAAATGGGGACCACAGAGAAGCAAGGCTCCCCTTTCCAACACAATGAAGATGACGACAGTGGCCATGGCAGAGAGAGGAAAGCAGAGCCACCGCCTTGAAGCTATGCAGGGCTCGGACCCAGGGCCACAGGGCCTCCGAACAGTCGCCAGGATCCTGCCCTGAAAACAAAAAGAACAAAACCAAACCGTAACTCTGATCATAGTCCCTTAGCGGCTTCAAAAGGTCAGATAAAAGTTTGCCACAGCGCTCCATCAGTATTCATCAGCTGAAGTTATATTTTAACTTGTACCAGCTAACAGTACTGCTGGAGAATGTTCACAGAGCCTTTACGGTGCTTACGGGGAGGGGGGCCCCCTGGGCAGCAAGAGGCCATGCCGGTCATTTGTGATCTCGCGCCCGCGCAGAGGGTCCCCAATATCTCACAGAACCACAGGCCGGAAGTCTTCCAGTTGGTGCCGTCAGGATGGAGACAGTTTCCAATTTATCTCTTTGCTTTGGAACATCAATAAATTTTATAGCTAAATCTGGTTTCCATCTCCTCTGTAGCAACAAGTGTCTTCCAAAACATTAAAGAAAAAAAAAATTAGAACTCATACATATTTTTGCTATCTTTGGACATTTTCCTAAGACCTCTGAAGGTTCCAAGTTTCTCAAAGCAGTAGACAGCCGCGTGCTGTTTAGAATCATGTGATCAACTAGCTTTTGTGTATAATTGATGCCGAGTGTGGGAAAGACCAGCATCACCACAGCGACGACAGTGAACAGGTCCTGCCCTGGAGCTGGCATCCGCTCCGGGGGGCTCGGGGGAGCCATTGCCTCAGCTGTCGGAAGAAAGACCAGTGAGGGGCCAGGCCACTGAGGGTGGACGGGTGCACTGTCCCGCAGGCAGTCACCTCTTGGCCATGATGAAAGGCTTAGGCTGCCACCGGAGGAAAGAGGTGGAACCAAGCCTGTCAGTGTTTCATTTCAAACAGGGAATCCAAGAATTCTCACCTAGTTTAATGGAAAACTGGACAGTACAGCAAAACAGTGCATGCGAAAAGGAAAGAGCCAGGAGACTGAGCAGCGGAGGGCCTGTCCAGCCCCAACTACCTTTTTCCCCCAACAAAGCCAACAGTTAAGGATGACAAACTTGGCCAAATCATGTCTTTCCTATCCAAGGTTCAGCATTTATTCCTCTTGGTTGCATGCGAGCTTTGACCTCTAACGTTTCTGCAGATTGAGACCGTCACCACCTGACAGGTAAGAAAATAAAAAGCAGGAACACAGCAGCCCTCAGGCACATTCTCAAAGTGTAGGCTCAGCTGAGCCTCCCCTCGTCCTCTCGGATGTGGGGAGACAGAAACTCTTCCATGACCACATCCTGCTGACCGGACTGCTGCCCGTCCTGAGGGAGGGACAGACCCGCCCAAGGCAGTGTGTCCACTTCCCTCCCTCACACCCGCAACCTCCCACCTCCACTCTCCAGGAAGGCAGGAGCGGGTGGCCTCTGCGGATTCATCCTGTGAATCCACCCAGCGAAGACAGCTACTCCCCGGGCCTGACTCTGAACCCGTTCCCGTGAGACGTGTCAGCCGCTCCCGGGCCTGAGACAGGATGGGATTCTGCCCCCCCGGTGACACGGCCTGTTTAATGTCCGGCTATTCCAGGTGAAGGGATGTGAGAGCTAAGCGTGGCCTCGGCCCTGCCAGGTCTGTCTTCTCAGATAAATATGTGCTTTTAATACTAAACACGCCTGGTCACGGCCTCAGAGGCTGAAGCGCAGCCAGCAGCAACACTATGTGGAGAGGAGTGCCCAGTGTTTCTTTTTCATGAAAAAGCTTAGAAAAGGCCAGTTAAAGACCAACCCAGGGCTCCGGCTCCCCCTCACTGCCAGCACTCTGAAGAGTAGGAAAACCTGGAAGGACCCACTCTGAGCAAGACAAACGGACACCTTCCCAGATGAGAACAAGATTTTCTATCCTTATCATAGGATACCCCCCACACAAAGCGCCACAGACACTGGCCGATGTTGGCTGGAGGGCCGCCCACATAGTGGGCCTCGAACTGGGTTCCCAAGGCTGCAGGAGACCCCAGCTGTGGCTGCAGCCCAGGTCAGCGCTGAGGCGAGGGAGGTGCAGAACCTTAGACCCCAGGCCTGGGACTGCCAAGGGCGCCGGGGAGCGGGATGGGGCTGAGAGAGGATGGTCCCCGGCGCTCTGCCCACTGCCCGTCAGGAACACTGACCGGGTCTTCAGGACCCATATCCAGGACCTTGAGCTAAGATCATCTGCACTGTACCTTCAGAAGGTAGAGACAGAGGAAAGGATATCCCTACCTTGTACAGCACAGACGATGAAACTTCCAATTAGAAGAAACAAATCTGCTTCTTCAGGCTGACTGACCCAAAGCAAACCCCAGAGGGAGAGGAGTGTGTTTCCCAAGCACCTGCAAAGCCAACGCTCAGGTCTAACAGAAACAGCTGCTCCTCCTCCCACCACTTACGGCAAGCCCCTCCGCAGTCCACCGGGAAGGCAGCAGCACCACTGAGCCCACAGAGCTTCATGCATCTCATGTTTAAGTCACTTTATTCCTTGCTGTCTGACCTTGCTTTTGGGAATTCTATTGTTGATGCTGTAGTAGAGATAAAAAAGTGACTAAGAAAAAACAAGAGTAGGGAAGGAAACTGACTAAAATATGATGGCATATAAAAATTACAGGTGGGGAAATCCTGTAGGGCCTCTACACTCTTATCAGGCATCAGACAGACCCATGCTGCCAGGAAGTCAGGAGGCATGTGACAGGATGGGATTTTGCAACAAGGCTCCCAAGGAGAGAGCCGGGGCCAGACGGGAAAGAGGGAGTGTAAAGAACGGGCAGAGCAGCCAGCATCTTTGCCTTTTAATAGAAGATTTGTTTTCATCATTTCTGAGGATAACATATTTCTTCTAAAAATAGAGCTCTTTGCTTGTTCTGAAACTTCTTAACTTTCGCTCGGAGGTGGAGGGGAATAAGGCTGACTGTAACCCTGGGGTGACGTTGCCAATGTCTCCTCGTCTCAGACCAACTCTTGAAGGGCTCCTGGGAGCTCACAGCAAGGATGAGTTCATTCAAATCCATGGTACTGAAGAAACACGACAAAGCATGCGAGCCCCCGTCCGTGCAGGGTGTGGACCCCATGAAACCATTACTGGCCGTGGCTCAGACGAGACCAGGAGGCAGGGGCCCCTCCCCCGGGGAGGACGACACAGGACCCTGCACACGTTCACCAGAGGACAGCAGGGTGTCCTCCTAGCACACTGGGTGGGAGCGAAGTGTACAAACACACGAGACACGGGAAGGCAGGTGAGGATGGTGTACTCCTGCCCTGGGCCAACATGGGCCTGGACCTGCTGGGGTTTCTCACAACACAGACTGAGAGCCAGACTCGCCCCCTGCCCCAGGGAAGAGCCTGGTTAGCTCCTGAATCCAAAGATGCCCTTGATGTATCCGGTGAGGCCACTCTTGGTCTTCTGCTCCAACTTGTCCTCAAGGGGTGGGAAAGCCACGTGGTTGAGGGCCAGGTCAAAGAACAAAGGTTTGCAGGGGATGGGCTGGAATCCCGGTGGGAAGTGCACCAGGCTGGCTTGCTTGGTGACAAGGGAAGGGTCCAGGCAGAAGGTCTCAAACCGTTCAACCAGGGGCTGGAAGTCAAACCAAAGCAGGAAACCAGAGTGAATCGCAGCCCATCGGTGGAACATTCAACCCCCACAAACCTCCTGTGAGGGGATGTTATGTCCTCACTTTCTTTACAGCTGAGAGTCACTGAAATCTAGAGAGGCTGAGAGTGGTGGGCTGGAGTGGGTTACAAGCCTGTCCAGTGTCTGAGTCAGAGCCAGAGCTCCGCGCCAGAGCAGGTTCCTAATGTTATTTGGGACCATTTACATGACAGCTAACACACCTCACACAGGCAGCTTTCAGGTCCTCAGTAAAAGCAGCGGGGAAGGGAGGGTGTTCCCTGGGAAATGAAGGGTCCTTTGCTCTACACATGAGTGCACAATCCTAGGGAGCCACGAAATCCTCTTCATTGTTCAAAAGCCACAGCCCAGACTTACCTTATTGTCCTTGACTTGGGAAGAGGTTTCTGTTTGGAGGGCATCATTTGTATCTGAAAGTTTCACAGGATTCAGTGAGAAGATGGGCTTAATCCAACAGTCTGGAATGATACCTGTCACCCACCTGGATTCTAAACCCTGGGGGTAAAGGCAGCCCGTCTGCGGGGAGTCAGCCCTCTTCAACCCGAGGCAGACAAGCTGTGCCGATAACAGACCACACACCCAGAACCAGCATGCTCAGCCCAGCGCAGCCGGCATGGCTCCCTGGGACAGGCGGGGGGACCGCACGCCAGGGCTCCTCTAGATTCTTCCACATAACCCGATGCCTCACTGGGGCAGAGGAAATGGCAGGAAAAACTAAAATCTCACAGATGAACCGAAACAACCCCTTTCAGTCTTATGCCAGTGGCGGACGGGGTGGGAGAGAAGAGGAGCAGCAGAGAAGGGGAGTCTGGGGACACAGGCGGCGGGGAACAGGCGCATGGCTCACCCAGGATCGCGGCTGCCTGCAGGGAGCACTTCTCCGACCTCACTTGTGTGATGAGCTCCTGCACATCCGGCAGGTCCTGTAACAATGAGGAAAACGTGGACCCGTGAGCTGAGGCCGGGCCAGAGAGGTGCACCAAACTAACCTGAGCTAAGTAACCCCACTGGTGTTTTCAGGGATTTCAGGTAATTTGAACATTTTCCCTATTAAAAAAAAAAAGCAATACATAGAAACTAGCCTGTTTCAAGGGGAGAAATCTATGCCATGTCTTAAGTAATACTGCCTGGAAATAATAATAATGGCAAAGATAGCATTAACACATTTATCATACAGCAAATGCATTACGTGCCAGGCACTGCCCTAAGCAGTCCACACAACTGTCAATTTCATCCTCATGATAATCCCAAGACAGTCTGTACCTGCATTTTACAGGTGAGAAGACAAAGCACAGAGGAGCCAAAGAACGTGCCCAGTCACCTCCCCGGTGGCCGCGGGGCAGGACCCAGAGCCTGGCCGCCCAGCTCGAGGACCTCAGCCCCTAACCACGGCCCTTCTCTCGCCTCAGCCTCTCACTCGGCAGAGTCCGGAATGACTGGTCAGGTCTGGGTACTGCCACACCCCTCACGCCTGTTTCCTGTTAGCTCCCCCCTAACCTGAACCCCGGCATGTTAGGGCAGATGGGCTTTCGTGAAACCCCTCTTACTTCTCTCTGGAGACAGACCGTCCACACTGGTTTGTCATCACATTCCAACAACACCCCACCCGATGCTGCCGCCACACTGGTCACCCCTCCCACTGCCCACACCCGCCTCCCACCTACTCCGATTTCGCTTCCTTCTTTTGTATTTGGAGGTGGGCCCTAGGCAAGTCTTGTGGCTGTAGCAAAACCACAAGGTCTCTGAAGGCAGAAGCCAGAGTTTCTCTATTGCTGAGCCCAGGGCTGCACCAGGCAGACACTCCCACACTGGCTGTAACATTGGTAACAGTAACCTCAGCCCCGCTTTTCTGAATAGTTTCTACTTGTAAAATATACATGGGTCCCCTGGACCAGTGCTTTAAGAATCTCTGTAACCTCACAGCAGTCCATAAACTTGAAACTCTAGTTGTCATTCAAAAATCAGTAAAATAAACCAGATGGCATGTAAGCTTTGACATATACTCCATCACCTGGCAGTCTTGCTAAAGTAAAATACACTTTTAGACTCAGTAGACCTGGGCCCTGGCCTGAGAATCTGCATTTCTAGCAAACTCCCAAATGCTGCTGCTGGCGGTCCCCATGCACTCGTGTGGAGAGCCAACTGGTTCTCTACTTGGCTGCAGAGTAGAATCACTGAAAGGCTTAAAAAAGCCCCAGTGCAAAAAAGTAAATAAATATAATAAAAACCCCAATTCTCATCCCACACCAATTAGACTCAGACATCCACCTTGGAAGCAGTTCCAACAGGGAGCCGAGTCTGAGAACAGTACTTTGGGGCAGTGTACCGGGCGGAGGCTGTCTTGGTACCCGAGTCTTCAGGCCTGGAACGCTGCCATGAGTTACACCCACAGCTCCCAAGCACTCGGGCTCACCACATCCCATGGTTGACCAAGCAGGACCCGCCTGAGACGGCCTCACGGCCTCACAGCCAGCTGCTCAGGGCTTAGAAACAGGAGAGGCCATTGGCTTACCTTGAGGCTGTTCTTGAAGGCTCCGGCATCGGAATTCACTTCGTCTGCGTATTTCAGGACCCTGTCATATAGGACAAGGGCTTCACTCCACTTCTTCACCAGCACGTAGGACTGAGCAATGAAGAAACACCTGATGGGGAAGGAAAGAGCCACAGTATTCTTAAGCAACAATCACCCAAGATCAAGGCTTTCCTTGCTGTTTAGGCTAAATAAACTGTCAAGCCTCTTAACGTCAGGCTCACTCCCTGGGGTGGGAGATTTCACCATTCTCACTGTTCCAGTTTGCCAGGCTAACCCACAGATTCCTCCCTGAAATTGGAGCTGACAGTGTAGGTCCAAAGCTGACCCACTATCTTTTACTCACTGCTAACTCTGCAAAAAAGCTGCGATTCCCAAAAGGCACAGGGAGGAAGCTGAAGACAGGTAGGAAGGAGGGACGTTGCAAATGCTACCTACACTGCCCACACATCTAGGTCATAACCATTCGTCTCTGCTCATGTCTTTCAAAAACCAAAACCCAACCTTCAGGGACATGCTCCCGAGGCTTCTAGAACCTTCCAATGGTTGGGGGAGCCCTGCCCACCCCAGGGAAACTTACCTGTAAGCCTTGAAGACCAGAGTTTTGAGGCCTATCTCTTTCTGGAAGGCTCTGTCCTCCTCTAAGCCAGGAAGCTGGAGCAATTCCACCAGATTCTGCACAACAAATGTAACAGGAAAACTCATGAAGACGGGGGCCCACACCGAGTGTTTGACAGAAGGTTTGGAAGAACAGACGTGGACAGAGCGAGCCTGGGCTTCAGATATTGGGGACATCTGTGGTAAGTGACTTGGCCGCCCACATCTGGCATCACCTCCGCCCTCCTGACACTGAAAGCCCATGTGGCCTCTTTCTCTCTGTCATGATTCACCTTCTTCAGAGACTCCCTGGACCCTCTCAGCTGGAGGGGATCCCTCTGGTTCTGAACTCTCATGTCAGATAGCCCACTTGTCTGGCACCTATACAGATACCTTGACTGTGGGCAGGGGTCTCAAACTCCCTCACCAACGAGCTCCCAGGGAGCTGAGGCAGCGTGGCCTCAGGTCCCAGGACACTCAAGGCATGTGGGCGACCAGCCTGCAGAGGGAAGTGCTCCGTGAAGGAATACTGGAGGGTTTACGAGTGTCTACACATCCACACGGGCTTCCCTGGTGGCTCAGTGGTAAAGAACCCGTCTGCCAATGCAGGGGACATGGGTTCGATCCTTGGGCTGGGAAGATCCCCTGAAGAAGGGAATGGCAACCCACTCCAGTCCCATGGACAGAGGAGCCTGGTGAGCTATAATCCACGGGGTCACAAAAGAGTCAGACATGACTAAGAGTCTAAACAACAACAAAACACATCAACATGTCTGGATATCAGGTTCATGGACGGCTGAACTGGTATGAAAACAAGAACTTCTGTCTTTCACCGAGTCACCAACAGCTCCTGGCTATCACAACCCTTTTGCCATGTCATTTTGTATCCAACCCACACACAGGACAGGCTTTCCCAGTCCTCCGGGGTCACCTGCAGAATGATGTCATAGAGCCGGATCAGGTCCTGGGGCCGAGGGGCACGCTTGCTGTCATCATCCGGCTGCTGCTGCAGCAGGGCCTTCTGCAGCCCTTTAGCCATGTTTTCGTTCCGCTTGATCGCTGTTGACAGCTTGATGTAAGTCAGGTAGCTGGAAAGGACCACATGTCAGCTCAGGTGATGCTCAGGGAAGTGGATGTGCTGGGAAGAGCACTGGACCACAAGCTGGGCTGCCCTAGGAAGCTGCGGGGGTGAGGGGTGACCATGGCAGGGCTGCAAGGCCTGGGCCTCAACCTCCAAGGGCCTTCGACTCTGGGTGCTGTTCCGTGGCGAACTTGCAGGGGACCCGTATGAGACCTTATGACAAAATTTGATTTTAACTTGAATTATATCTTCTGTATCTTTAGAGAGTTACTAATTTCAGAGGACACTGCTGGTCCTTAAGACGAGAGACGGATAGCAAGCTAGTTCCTGAAATAAGCACTAAATAAACAAAATAGCATGGGAAACGACAGCACTTGTGTAGGAGTCAGGTGGAAGGCCAGAGGGGTCAGGGTGAAGCGCGGACGTAGAACTGGTGAGAGGGCTGTAGGAGAAAGCAGTAATAAATGCTAAAAGCCAAAAATCAAGAAGGAGCAGCATACACATGCCAGTTAGACATGGAGGTAAATACCAAAGAGTTTGTTAAAGAATTAAAACTGGCCCCTTCTTCTTCCTGCTGCACCGAGAGGCTTGTGGGAACTTAGTTCCTGACCCTGGACTGAACCTGTGCCCCCTTCGTTGAAAGTGCAGAGCCCTAACCACTGGGCCACCAGGGAATCCCCAAAAGTGGCTGCATCTGAGAAGCATGAGGGAAAGTCATGAGATGGGCTTTCCTAGAGCTCTGCAGAAAAATCAGACTCTCAAAACAAATAACTGTTATTCACCGAGTGGAACAGGAATCTAGATACATCTTTATTAAGATATCAGGGCTTTATTAAAATACAAGAGCTACTGGATTCCTGACTTAATCTACCTCATAGCTGGCCTCTGGTCCTAACTGATCACCATCTCTGTACCAGCTACACGTGGAGGCGGGAGACAGATCCCAGGGCAATGGGCTTCACAATTTGTAAGTGTCCTCAGCCCTGCTGAAGCTCTCTCAGTCTTTCAAGGCTGGAGGCTGACAACTGCCTTTGCCTCTTTGTGGCTGTTAACTACCAATGCGTCCCCTAACCTCCTAAAGCCTTGTTTTTCTCATGGGCTTGTTGAAACAAAAGGGTTAGATAAGGGCTGTTCCTGCTAATACTCTGTGCATCTGAGCCATAATACCAAATTCTCTAAGAATGGAGATTAAGGCAGGGAGAGGAGTTTTTTTGGTTTGTTTTTATTCAAATGGGCGGGGGGCAGGGTGGTTGGGAATGACTGAAAATATTGCCAGGTTCATTAAAAAGTTGTAAGCAGTGACTAAGACATTAAGAATTTCAAGATCACATGGAAAGAGCACCTGAGGAGAAGTGGAATTTTATTTCTCCCAGGAAGTTTCAAAAATGTCACTCTTCCTTCCTCCTTTCTTCTGTGAAACAAAATGACCTATCTTAAAAAACTTAAACTTGACAAGGTGATTTCAAAATGCGTATGAAAGAGCAAAGGGAGAAACATAGTCAAGATGTGCCTGAGAAACCTGGTGGGAGTGGACCAGACACCCAGGCCCATGATAAAGTTACAGTAAATCACTACGCTGGTGTCAGTACAGACAAATAAATCAGCAGAGCAGAAGAGAGTCCAGAAAGCGAGCACGCAAGGCGTGTGGAATGTCCGCCCGCACACCAGCGGGGAAGGACAAGCCGGTCATAAATCACACACTGGAACAATCCGTCACCCTCGTGGAAAAGGGTGACGCGGAGCCTTAGCGCACTCAAAAATAAACTCTAGATGGAATTAAAGTTCAGTTGAACTTGAACTTAAATGTGGACAACATAAAACATTCAGAACACAGAGGAGAGTCACTCTAGGAGCCTGGAGCTCCTAGAAGGAGAGTGGTGAGCTCTAGAAGAAGGGGAGGACTCAACAAGGGGGGGCACAGGGAGCTTCAAAGTTATTGGTTACATTCTAGTTCTTCTGTTGTACAAAAATGGGAAATTATATGGATATTAGAATAATATACACGTGCAAATCTCATATGCAAAAATGTGCAAATGCATTCACATTTTAATATGTATCAATAAATTATAATGTACATAAACACTGTGCATACTCTTTTGTTCCAATGATATATCATGCAAGGTTAAAAAGTAAAAATGTCACATCTCTTACCTGTGCAGGTACTGAAGATTAGATACCTTCCCCGACTCCATATCTAGGGTATAATCTCTCTGTTTCTGCAGAAAGTGAAAAGGGAGAGATAAAATGGCTGATTACGTCCTTGGCTCTGACCACCTCATTCAATGGTGTGGACCTCAAAGTGCCCTGGGACACAGGCACAGACTCTAGTAGTTGAGGTCCTCAAGTATCAGAGAACTCCTGGGCTTTTCTGCAACGACAAGGTCACGCAGTTTCCACTGAGAAAGAAAAACCAGACTTGAACAAGAATTCAAAGTAGTGGCCAGTAAGGCTTCTAGTCCACTGTGTCCAGTGTTTAGACTCAAAGCATTAAAGCAGACAGTCCACGGCTCCATTTTAGGACCCGTGTCTTAGACCCAAGTTCTATGCCTTGTGCTGTCAGCTCTTACCTTTGTGGTTGACTGAATAAAGGGCCCTAAAGGGAGGAACCTGTGAAGGAACCTTACATGGTAGGAGACCTTACAGATGTGGTGAAGTTAAGGATCTCTTGATTAGCCTGGATAGAAAAATCAGGAGACTTCTCTAAGAGTCCAGACGTAATAGAAAAAAGTTCATTAGAGACAGGTGGAATGGACAAAGGGAGAGGAAAATTACACAGGGAGAATAAACGAAGTTTTTGGCAAGAGGGAAGAAAGACAAAAATGGTTCTGAGGTTTTCAGCCTAGATGCCTGAATGAATCACAGTGATGTTATTAGAAAAACAGAGCACTGGAGAAATCCACCTGGAGATATGGATTTGAGACCAAAGGCTCAACAGGTAAAACATGAAGCCATTAGAAGCAGAACAGAGGGAAAAGAGTTTCTCAACCTGGTGGAGCCCAGAGGAGGCTTCTGTTGTTGGTCAGCCAATTGTCACATCTAAATACAACGGCAGCTGAGCGTCCCTGCTCTGGGAATACGACACACAGACCAAAGAGGGTCTCAGCTCAGAGCAAGAGCCGGGGGCTCAGCTGAAAGTCCTACCTGATCTGACTTGAGCTCTTCCCGCACGGCCTGGATGGCGTCCCGACACTCACTGAGCATGGATTCAAATAGACGCTCCTTGGTTTCTTCACTCTCAGCCTAAACAAAGGCAGAAGGTGGTGAAAGAGTTTCTTTTTGAGTAAGTCACGGTATTCTGATGGGAGGAGGGCATGAGAGCGCTTTAATTCCTCTCATTAGACACGAATACACACATCCAACCAAAAAACAGCCTGGATCAGAGATCATTTCAACTGTTAATATTCTTCATCATATACAATTTCTCTTATGGTTTTATTCATTAATTTGTACAGAAATGAGAAGCGAGTATATATAGATGTAAAGTGAACATACTGAAAAAGCATTGATACAACTGATCTAAACTGTCAACCAACAGAGGCTTTCATCTTTCCTCTACCATAGAACCTCCCACTGTTTTCCTTCAATGCCTCTACCTGTGCTCAGGACCAGCACCTGGCATCTCAGGGGAGCCTTATGGACTAGATTTGGGGCACTGCCACCTCACATTGAAGCACAGCACAAGTTTCTTTCCCTTGCAAATGTAACCCAACAGGGTTGTAGATATCAGATTTCTTCTAAGCCCCAACTAGATGAGTGACATTACTAGTCAACAACCAACCAAAGATATATCTCTCTCCTAAATGCCATATGAGGTTTTCCTGCATATAGGAGGTATTCCATACGGCTATGCTGAGAACATCTCAGGGCAGATAAGTTGACAAGCATTTAATAACAGTCTCTGCAAAGCACAGGGCGTTGCCCCTCTGCTAGCCAACTGGGATAAGGCAAAAAGTGATTCACTAACTGAATACCTGCCAAACCACATTATCATTCTAAAGAATCTGACTAAGCAGGCGGGAATGGACAAAAAGCAGAAAGGAGATGAACTTGTGTTACTAGCAGACCTACTCTGACATTAGAACATCAACATTCCCATGATTATATTTGACTTTCCACAGAAACTAACATCCAGTCTGATCTCTTGACATTCAACTGACCTCCAGAAAAAGCTCAGAAGAAAACCCAGTACTGCCCACTCCTTTAAGATATGGTTGGGAGGGGCCTTCAGAAAAACCTTTTCTTCTCTTAAGAACTCTCATGTTTTTCCTAGTTTCCAGTGTGGGGAAGAAAAAAAAAAAACCAAACTTCCTTGTAAATTACCCAATATAAATCAAACATACTTTTGTAAGTTACTTGACTTTCTTGTTGTTCAGTAACTTAGGAACAAATCAGGGGCATGGCTATTCTATAAGTTTACAAAGGCAAACCCAGACACCATTAACACACTGCAGGCTACAGCAGGGCTGTCCACTAGAACTTTCTGTGACGGTGATGTCCCTGCACGGTCCAGTGTAGCGTCATTAGACACAGGTGGCTGCTGAGCACCTGGAAGTTTAATAAGTTTAAATAGCCATATGTGTTCAGGTGGCTAGCGTACCAGAAAGCCTGGATCTGGAGAAACAACTTCACATGAAACGCCGTCAAGGAGCTCAAGTCAGTGAGACTCTTCGTACCCATTTAATCAAACTAGCCGAATTTTTCAAAGTACAAACCCTCTGGAACGGGGCAGCTGCAGAGTTAACAACTGGAATAAGACATGAAAACAGACCTGGACCAGCCACACACAAACCAGAGCCGCGTCGTGAGCAGGCAAGATGAACTCCAGCACCAGCCTGGAATCGTGCAATCCAGCAAACATGCCACCAACACCCTTTGAAGACTGGTGGGGTTCAGCAGTCGGGGCAGTGAGTGTTTAAGTACAAGAAAAGAGCCAATTGGTTTTACCAGCTTCGTGGGACCTGCCTCCTTTCCTAGGGAAGGAATGGCTCAAGTAAAAAATTAACACGATGCAGAAACGCTGTACGCCTTCACTGCCTTTGCCTTCGCTCCCTCTGAATAAGGAAACCTCTGCATCAAGGTACTGAAGAGCAGCAAGTCTCCCCTCTGCTTCCAGAAAATTCTTCGTTCCCCTGGGAATCTTACAAAGGTCTTAAACCACAATGAAGGGAGAGGCCGATCCGGATCAGGGGCTGTCAGTCGGCTGTGTTGTTCTTACGCAGCCACACTGCACAGGGACAGAGACCACTCATCTCTGGAGCAGAACCTCTCACGGTTCTCCCTGGGCTGGGCAAAATGTCCACACAGGAAGCCTGAAACACATTTTGCTACTTGCACTCTTACTCTGTAAACCTATCTCGGAGGCAAAGATAATTCTGAAGGGACAGTGGAACAAGAAATACCTCTCCACATCTATGCGGGGGCGGGGGGGGGTGGTCCCTCAGAACCTACGTGCAGATGGCGCAGGTCTGCCAGCGAACCCCCGAGAACCTGCTCCTGCACACACGGGCAAACTCCCTGCAGAACTCGTGGCCGGCTAGGACCTTCCCGGGTGTACCCGTGACAGGGAGAAACCCGCAGCCCAGAAGTAACGCGCCACTCAGTCCTAACAAACAAGCTTGAGATCAATCTTTATAAAACTTCAAACACTCTCAGAAGTGCTTTTCCACAGCCCCAAGGCACATCCCAAGGCTGAGGAAAACCAGCTGTATGTGTCCTGAGGTAAGACCCCCGGCTCTTAAAGACAGAGCTCCCAGACTGTTTTCACTTCTCTACTTGGTGTGACTGAGAGACGAGTCCAACCACATTCTCCACCACACCCATAGGAGAACCAAGGGGATGGCAACCCAGCCTCACTTGGCAGTGAGGTCTAGGAAAAAACAAACAGAAATGGAGTAAAGGAGGACACAAACCTCAGGTAAAAATAGATTGTTCTTTTAACAAAAAGAAGATATGATCTCCTTCCAGTCAAATATTAAAGTGTTAGTCATAATCTGAGGATAAGAATCATCAAACCTATAGACATTTTTAACCTTCCCTGCCCCCCCACCCAGCCACCTGACATCCTCAAATCACCAAGACAATTCAGGTGTGATCAAGTATTAACAAAGCAAAATAAAAACAAATGAGAAAGTAAGACAACATTAAAGACATGCAGACCTAAAGCTTGGCTAAAGAAAAGAAGGCTGTGGAAGCTGGATTTTGGCAGCTGATTAAGCCTCAGCTCCAGTCTTTGCAGTTTAGTATTATCTCTTTGAACTCTTTCTTTCTTCTTGCCTTTCAGTAAACTGTTGTTTTAGTATTTAAAGGTCACAAAAACTTCTACAAGCAACCAAGTGGAGGTCTACCAGATTCCTCCAAGAGAGTTCCCAGAGGGTGGGAAACACCAACAGCAGCAGGGTTAGGAAACACTGCAATGTTTCCTGGGCAGAAAACTCGATACAATATGGAGAACTGGCAAATCACCTGCCAAGTGCACCAACGAGCAAGCAGTTCTTCTGGAGATTAGCCCTGAATAGCCAAAGGGCCTTTCCCATGCGTAATAACCCAGCGTTCATTCAATTCAATTCACAGATAATCAGCCACAGAGCTACACCTGAAACCTAAGGGTTTAACCAAACTTCATTTGACACCGTACTTAATTTTCTTACTGGCTTGACCTGGTATATGTGTGATACAGCATATTAGGCATGTAACTGTTTTTAAGGTTAAAACCTTAATGGGATTCCTGGGATTAAAACACATTTTGTTTGCTCAACCAAATTATTTATTTTTTTGTTCAACCAAATTGTTTAAAGGTGTTGAATATTCAAGTGATCCTAATTCACCCTAAGATCCTTAAAGACCACAATTAATTGTATTCACCTCAACCAGCACATTAACCAGGCACTGAATAGAACACTAGATTCTACGAACACTAAAATGATAAAAGAAATTATAAACTGTCAACAAAACCGACAATTTACATGAAATCAATACGTTACTTTAAAAAATAAAATCCAAACTGACACAAGATGAAAGAGAAAATCTGAACAGCCCTCCAACTAGTAAAGGAATTATATTTTTTTTAAAACAAGCAAAAACAAATTATAAAAATCTTCCCACAAAGAAAACTCCAGGCCCAATAGTATCACTAGTGAATTATAACAAACATTTAAGGAGAAAACAAAAAGTTACATACTCTTCCAGAAAACAGGAGGGAACATCTCCAAACTTGTTTTACAAGGTATGTATAACCCTGACACCCACCCTAAAAAAGACATCTGCCATTATCTGTATAAAGAAGGACTTAAAAGGAATATATTTAACAACATAAACACGAACACTGAAGGTGAGGTGGGAACGCAGAACTAACAGCAGCTGCGATGAGATGACTGACCATGAGTATCTTCATCTATCCAAGGCTGGAATGATGTCACTGCTTTTTGTTGCCAATATTATCAAAATGTTAGCCAATCTTGAACTTTCTTTTAGTATTTATTTATTTATTTGGCTGCATCAGGTTTTAGTTGGGGCATGCGGGATCTCTCATTTTGGCACACCAGTCTCTAGGTGTGCGAGCTCAGTTGCTCTGCGGTGTGTGGGATCCCAGCTCCCTCAAGACTGAACTGGTAACCCCTGCATCGCAAGGCAGACTCCCGAGCACTGTACCACTAGGGGATTTCTTTGAACTGCTTTGTAAGGGGGACTATGACCTGGAGGTCCAGAAGTCAGCCGTTCACCTACACTAAAACCCGAGTTTGAGAGTAATCGTTTTAGTATGTGCACAAAGCTCAACTAGTCACCATGCGATTGAAGTGATCTTCAATTTTAAAGGGAACAGCTTCATGTGCAATTGTGAAATGTTTTTCACCTGGTCTAATTTAGCCCAAACTGAATTACTGTATGAATAAAGCAAAAATACCTCCCCCATTTAGATTATTATTCTCTATTTGTAAAAAAAAGGAAAGATAAATTCAGATAAAACATGACTGTATCTTCTCTTCCCACGTGGGAAACCCCTCCCCCCAGTAACCTTCTAAAGAGGATTCTCCTGTGAAGGACTACTTTTTTCTATTAAGATTAAACTTTTTCAGTCAGGGGCCCAGGACTCTGCTTTTCTATTAAGTGAAATTAAATTTAGCTCTTCACCAAAGCCAAGTAAAACGATCCTGTTACTAACCTTCCTGACGAATCTAAGGCTATATGGAAAACTTCAAGGAACATGAGCTTTGGAATCAAAACGGCACGGTTTTAAATGCAGGCACTCCCTTCTATCAGACATATGGTTATGGACAGGTGAGTTTTCCCATCTGTAAAATGAGTATCACCCACCTCCCAGGGTGGAAGAGAGAAATAATGAGACCATTAAGTAGTGTATCCAGGACATAGAGGAGGATCATTACCCTCCCTGCTTTTCTCTGTGGTGTCTCTGTCCAAGTGACTACCAGGTGATATGTGAAGTCAGACTGTACGCTGATCTCTTATAAACACATATTGTATAAATGGTAAACATGAATAACTTTTAAAGTTACTTAGTAAATGTTAACTTGTCCTGTCCTTTACCTGATCTATGTCTGTGGCTCCACTCCTAAGGTGTCTCTATTTTATTTGCCTCCATTCTATCCAGAATTCCTACCCCATTGTCACTGATGCCCGGCACAGAACTGTGGCAGTTTTCTCCTTCCAATATGTATCACTTTAAAGAGAAAACCCAGTTGCATAATTTAAATGGTTGTTATCAGCCCTAGTCAAGAAGAGAGACCTCTGTTAAGTGCCAATGAAATGCTCTCAGAAAAAGTTTAGTCTTTCAGATGAAAGAAAACTCAACTTTCCGGTACTGTTCTAATCTTCTGTCCTGTAAGCAAATAAAGGGGGAGGTGAGGGGCCATATGAAATACAGACAAAAGGCACAAAGAAATCGTTCAGTTGTTGAAAGCTGCCCCCAATGAAACAAGCCACTTTGGAACAAGTCACTAAAAGGCCTGGATGCTTAACACAACCAACCAGCACAACTAGCAAAGCGCCTCACACACATATCCCTATGGGGACAGCAGCCTGCTATGAAGTCCAATGAAATGCCACTGGTCCCTGCTGAGGCTGGAGACACAGGGAGTGGTGTGGTCTCTTTTTCAGATGTTCTTCGCCTAATACAGAGAAGGAGCTCTAAAAAATGCCTCTATCACTGTCTACCCCATACAAACCAAGATCACCAAAATCTCTTCTCTTCTGGAACTCATTTGGTTGTTCACACCCACAATCAGGTGGTAATTATGTCAGCAGGAGCATCGGGCAGTACGGCTCGGCATGAACACTGCATAAATACCACACGTAAAACAAGCTGATTGGGTTTAGCTAGGCAGTCTTTAAAGGACCCAGGGACAAGAGGTGACCCTTCAGGGCTGTAAGGAGAGGATGAGAGGTCAGAGAGACACAAGACATGAAACCATGCCGCTGCACCACCTGCTGGGCCAAATGTCACCCCTGACTTGAAGCAGCCCTTCAGTGCTCCCATTTTCACTGAAGAGTGTCACTGTCAATTTCTTTGGCCTCTACACAGAAAAACTCCTCGATAAACTCAGCTTTCAAAAGAATTCTATTCAAGAGCATGCATCTTGAGATAGTCACCCAAATCCTAAGCAGCAACAAAGTATCACATCGTAACACACAAGGACAACCTGGAGACACACCAAGAGAACAGAACAGGGCCCGGCTCCGTACCTGGACGATGGCGGCCTCGTTGTCGGCCAAACCCAGTAAAAAGATCCTCACTTTGTCGATCTTCACGGGAACCGTCCTGCCCCTCCATTCCACTTCACTCATGGTGGCCGCCTGCTTGGCTCGAGTTTGAGTGATCAACGCCTAGAAAGCAGTTATAAAATGTTAAAGCTTCAACTGTGGATGTGAGTGATCAAGGTGAAGTTCACTGGGAACTACTGTTTGTCTCTCCCTGTAACTAACATATTACATATCCCTGGGCGGGGGAACTGAGATCCCACAAGACACGGCCAAAAAAAAAAGTGACAAAAAGTTTTCATTAAAAATACAGATATAAACATGCATATATTAATAGCAATTATCCCTGGATGAGGGGATTGTGTGTTACTTCTTTTACTGGACTTTTTTCAAACTGAAGACCTTTCACAGAATGCGTACACTAGATTACCTCCAATTTTTCAGCCAGGAGACCCTCAGTGCCCCCAGACCTCAATCTCATCTGCATGAGTTCATTGATAGCTGACTGGTCACCTGAGAAAAAGAGAGAGACTGAGTGGAAAATCCTCAAGGGTCTTGGTTGTTTCCTCGAGAACTCTCAGAGTTAACTCCAAGCTCCTCCCCGTCCGCCGGCACGTTTCAATGAATCCTAAGTCCTTTCACAAGGCTCTGGGTGAGCACAGATACGGCGGGGCCAAAACTGAAGCTAGGGAACTGCCTTCTGGATGTCGAGCAAAGCTGACTCCAATAACTGTACTCTTTTCATCAACACAAACCCACACCAAAGATGGACGCGGGGGAAAGGGAGGAAAGTTAAAACCATCCTCCAGGTTCCGCAGGCCGCCTGTCGCTGCCCCGCACAGCCCCGCTCACCGATGTTGTAGGCGCAGTAGCGGATGTTGGGCGAGATCTCCTCCACCCGCTGGTTGTACAGCACAGCCTGCTCTTCTGTGAAGGCGCTGGCCAGCTTCTCGTAGATAGTCCTGCCAGGCAAGGAACATCACGGGTCACAGTGGCCTCGCTTTAAGAAAATAAACTTACAAGGAACACAGATCAACTACCACAACTACTGGCAAATTCTGAGGCTGAAAGAGAACAATCCACATTTCTCAAGAGAAGGCAAAAAGAAAGAAACTGCAATAACTTTCACAGAAGCAATCGCTGGCTGATTTGCAGCTTGCATGTGACTATTATCAAAACTGGCCATAGCCTTTGGGCCAGAGGACTCACTTGCATTTATTAAAAGCCTCAATGGCGGCTTTCCACTCTTGATGTTCGAACCGCAGCATTCCTGAGAGGTAAGCCGTGTAAGCCTGTGAGGTGACAGGAAAAGAGACACTGCTTCAATGCCCAGGAACCAGGGTACAGCCCAACCTCTACTCGCTTCAAACTCTGATATCAAGAACAGATATTCAGGTTGATTCTAAAAAAATAAAAAAACGTGTCTCACTAATAAAATGTGACCCATGGGTAATTTATGATTCATTTACTTCCCAGGAGAGAACTTCAAAATAAAGAAAATTTGCTCTCTTTATATTACTTAACAACCCACTTCTGGGTATACCATTAGCATCAAAAATTGGATGTAAACTTGAAATCTCTTCCATTCCTTTTCAAATACTCATTAAGAACAAAATTCTTACTTTGTGAACTTCCCAGATACAAGTCTTTCACATACACGTCAAAAGAAGCAAGGGCTTTCTTAAAAGTTAGAGCCAATTCTTAAAATCCAGGAACTCAAAAACAAAAACAAGAGCCAACTTCACCGTTTAAAGGCAAGATTAGGTTTTTTCCTCCCCTGATTACCAACATACAACGGAAGAGACTCTGTTCTGTTTAACTGTATTTTAAAGTCACATCTCTAATCTCCACAATAAAGCAAAGCTGATGTTATGACACTAACCTGAGCCTCCAGCTTGGTCTTGGCATCCACACGATTGCTCTCACACAGGCGTTCCAACTCCTCGGCATGCTTCACGGCTTTGCGTAGGCGAGACAACAAGTGGAACCGTTTTCGGGGCTCGGTGTTGGCTTCCTGCTTGAGCTGCATAGCATAGCTCCAGGCTCTCTCAGCATCCATCAGAACCAGAAGCAAGTATCTAAGTCAGAGACAGAACAGGCCGACTGAACAGCAAAGGCCAGGAGCACCAGACTCAGATATCGTCTGAGGAACAATCTTCGGTCTCTCGACTTTTCCCTATGCCCTCCTTTGCTTTCCTCCTCGGAGCTGCTCTTCTCACAGTATCAACCATGGTTCCCAAATCAGCATCTCCAGTAGGTCTCTAACCACCTACCAGACACATCTCATGGAAAAACCTGCTACCACCTCAAACTTGGCAAACCCAGACTTGATGTTGTCAGTTGCTCAGTTGTGTTTGACTCTTTGTGACCCCATCGACCGTAGCCCGCCAGGTTCCTCTGTCCATGAGATTTTCCATGAGAATACTGGAGTGGGTAGCCGTTCCCTTCCCCAGGGGATCTTCCTGACATAGGGATCGAACCTACATCTCCTGCGTTGCAGGCAGATTCTTTACCACTGCACCACCTGGAAAGCCCTTACTGAAATATAACTGACTTAAAATTCTGCATTAGTTTCAGGTGCAGGGTATGAGGTATTACTGACTATATTCCCTATGCTGTGCATTACATCCTGATGAATCATTTATTTCATGACTGGAAGTTTTTAACCTCTTAATCCCCTTCCCTTGTTTTACCGACTCCTTCCTACTTCCCTTACTTCTGGCAACCACCAACTTGTTCTCTATGAGTCTGTTTTATTTGTTGTTTTTTAGATTCCACATAGACTTGAGAATGCACGGTATTCTAACTTCACTTAACATGATACTCTCCAAGTTCATCCATGTTGTGGCAAATGGCAAGATTTCACTCCTCTTTATGGCTGAGTTACACATATGTAAATGATCTTGCTTTTAAAAGGTGAAGTTGGCATCTCTTGTTTTTGAGCTCTTGGTTTAAATACAGATATAGAGGGACGTCCCTGGTGGTACAATGGTTAAGACTTCACACTCCCAATGCAGGGGACCCAGGTTCCATCCCTTATCAGGGAAGCAGATCCTGCATGCCACAACTAATACCTGGTGCAGCCAAATAAGTAAGTCTGAGAAACTGACCCACAGACTATTCATACATATTGCTTGATAGGGTAATCCTGTCATGTTAACAACCATGTTACATTCAGCAATGAAATACAAAACTCTTATGCAGTAATTTACACATGGCCAGATTTCACTTGAGATATATGGATTTAAGGCCACAGGAAAAGGTCAGTTTTCATTCCAATCCCAAAGGCAATGCCAAAGAATGCTCAAACTACTGCACAATTGCACTCATCATCTCACACGCTAGTAAAGTAGTGCTCAAAATTCTCCAAGCCAGGCTTCAACAGTATGTTAACCGTGAACTTCCAGATGTTCAAGCTGGTTTTAGAAAAGGCAGAGGACCAGAGATCAAATTGCCAACATCCGATGGATTATCGCAAGAGAGTTCCAGAAAAACATCTATTTCTGCTCTATTGACTTTGCCAAAGCCTTTGACTGTGTGGATCATAATAAACTGTGGAAAATTCTGAAAGAGATGGGAATACCAGATCACCTGACCTGCCTCTTGAGAAATCTGTACGCAGGTCAGGAAGCAACAGTTAGAACTAGACATGGAACAACAGACTGGTTCCAAATCGGGAAAGGAGTACATCAAGGTTGTACATTGTTACCCTGCTTATTTAACTTACAGCAGAGTACATCATGAGAAATGCTGGGCTGGAGGAAGCTCAAGTTGGAATCAAGATTGCCGGGAGAAATATTAATAACCTTAGATATGCAGACGACACCACCCTTATGGCAGAAAGTGAAGAACTAAAGAGCCTCTTGATGAAAGTGAAAGAGGAGAGTGAAAAAGTTGGCTTAAAGCTCAACATTCAGAAAACTAAGATCATGGCATCTGGTCCCATCACGTCATGGGAATTAGACGGGGAAACAGTGGAAACAGTGTCAGACTTTTTTTTTGGGGGCTCCAAAATCACTGCAGTTGGTGATTGCAGCCATGAAATTAAAAGATGTTTACTCCTTGGAAGGAAAGTTATGACCAACCTAGATAGCATCTTAAAAAACAGAGACATTACTTTGCCAACAAAGGTCCACCTAGTCAAGGCTATGGTTTTTCCAGTGGTCATATACGGGTGTGAGAGGTGGACAGTGAAGAAAGCTGAGCGCCAAAGGATTGATGCTTTTGAACTGTGGTGTTGGAGAAAACTCTTGAGGGACCCTTGCAGTGCAAGGAGATCCAACCAGTCCATCCTAAGGCAGATCAGTCCTGGGTGTTCATTGATGCTGAAGCTGAAACTCCAATACTTTGGCCATCTCATGCGAAGAGTTGACTCATTGGAAAAGACCCTGATGCTGGGGGGGACTGGGGGCAGGAGGAGAAGGGGACGACAGAGGATGAGATGGCTGGATGGCATTGCCGACTCAATGGACATGTGTTTGAGTAAACTCTGGGAGTCTGTGATGAACAGGGAGGCCTGGCGTGCTGCAGTCCATGGAGTTGCAGAGAGTCGGACACGACTGAGCAACTGAACTGAACTGAACAGACACTGAAATTTGCATTCCAGAAACCTTACCTAATAACCAATTAGGTTATTAGTCTAATCACTGACTTCCACATTTACCATTCCACCACAGTTATTTCTGAACAAGTTGCAGAGTCTCTCTGAGCCTGCTTTCTGTTTGTTTTGTTTTTGGGGCCACGCTGTGCAGCATGTGGGATCCCAATTTCCTCACCAGGGATTGAACCTGTATCCCCTGAATTGGGAGTGCAGGGTCTTAACCACTGGACCGCCAGGGAAGTCCCAGTTTCCTCATAATAGAGGAGCAGTAAAGATGCCTATTCCACAGAGCTGCTACAAAAACCACATGCAATAACTCAAGTGTGTGGCATGACATCTGTCACACTGTAATTGTTCAATAAATGCATTAACAAGATGTACTCAGCACTGAGCAGTCAATACCTGTTATCAGTCAGAAGATCTTCAGTTACTTTTTTCCCTGTGAATTTGTGTCTGTTCCCCATCTTAAAGTTGAGTGTTTTCCGAAGACGTCTTTGTCTACGTGAACAGTAGCCCCTGTAAAAAACCACAACAAAAACCATTCAGCTAAGCTGACAGTATTTTCAACAGTAAGTTCTGCAATAAGGCAAGGTCAAAAGTTTGGGATATTCTATTTATGGTTGTTATAGATACCACCACCCTCTTGCAAATGTTTACTGAATGGAAACATGCAAGGCAGAATGACTGCTATTACAGAAAACATGAAGAGACAGAGGACATGGTACCCATTCTCAAAGAACCACACTCAAGCTGGAGAGAATCATGAAGATAAAATGGCAAATTGAAAGTGACCCGAGTAACTTTTCTCTTCTTGTTAACCCCCTTCCCTGGCGTGGACTTATGGTGGGCTTTGAAAGAATGAGTAGGATTCTGATGGATGTAAAAGGGAAGAAGCGGCATCCTGACGGAGACTGTGATGACAAGGAAGACATGGAGAAAGGAACTACAAGTGTATCTGAAGAAAAATGAGGTGAACGAGGATATCACCAAGAAATATGATAAACATCACCTCTTATGCCAAGACTCTCTCTTCTCTACTCATGCAATTTTTAATTCTTACTTCTACTATAGTTTGAGAATATTATAATCATGTTCTTACATCTCTCACTAATATAAACTCCTTGAGTACAAAGATGATTTTATTTTCAAATTTCTCCCAGTGTCTTGGCACAGTGCCTAACATATACATGCGCAATAAAAGTATCTTGACTAAGCTAGTGTAAAAATACATACAAAATTTTACCACTCTTACTCAAAACAGCATAAAATTTACAATATAAAATGATATTTAAATAGTAACTTCAACATCTCAGTCTTAAAGCTACCAAGGAACAGGTTACTAAAAAAAAAAAGTATGACTGAATCTATGAACTACAGGTCTTTTTCCTCAATTCATAATCATGCTTTAATTATCACTTACCCTTTGACATAAAAATCAAATGGAACACACACATTATGGCTAGAAATGTAAATTGGTAAAAATTTTCTGGCAATCCATTTATCAAGATCCTTAAAAATGTTCATTCTTCCTGAACTGACAGTCTACCTTTACACTAAAGAAATAAGCAGAAATACAAAGAGGAATGATCAGAGATTCAAGGGAACAGAATTTTTAAGCCTACAAAACTGGCTACCATATAAATAACCAACTCAGGGGAATAGGTAAATAAACTATGGTATGTCTATATAGTTGGTATAGATATATGTCAGGTTATAACACAACTAATAAAAATCACATGTATAGAACATTTTTACAAGCATGGAGAAATACTTAATACATAATGTTCGGCAAGAGAGTAGGATACAAAGCTGTACACACAATGTGAGCAAACTTATGGGAAAAACGCGTAGGAAAAGACTAGAAGAACAAAAATACTATTTGGTAGGCACACATACACAAATATATTTATGTACTGAAAGACAGAAATATAGACTAAAATGTACACAAAGTCATTTTTATGTTCTATTTTACTACCAAAAAATCTAATTGAAAATTCAACATTAAAAAGATTAATAATAACTAGGAAAAAAGAAAAACCAAAATTGGAGTCCCAACAGCCATTCAACTGGGGGATAAAAGCAGACTATGGTTCACCCCTGCAATGGATTACCACTGAGTAATATGTTAGGTGAGAGAATCTGGACACGAAAGGCCATGTTCCGGAAAAAGCAAAACTACAAGGACAGGAATCAGAACAGCAAATGCCAAGAGCTGGGATATAACCCAGATGTTGTAACATGGTTATATTAAAAAAAAAAAAAAAAAAAAGATCACCATAATTCCTTGTTATTTTCGCCCGAAGCTTCCATGTATCTGCAACATCTTAAGGCAAAATGGATAAAAAGATTAGCTCTTTTTAAATTTGAAAATCAAGTATCTTTTTGAGGATTTGATATAAGTTAAGAATTAGACTTTCCAGGTATACTTTCTGGTAAGGCACAGTAGGGAGGGTAGTAACAAAGGCAAACCAAGTTTGAAAAAGCCAGAGATGTCTATACACCTTGCAAGTGATACTAACCTGTACCTCTGAAAGTCTCCATGCCGTAAACCGTGCTGCTGCTGGGATTCCTTTATAATCTGAAGAACTAGAGTCCAGATTAAGGAAAAGCTTACAGTGCCAAGAATCCAAATAATCCAAAACATTTATCCATATTAGTAACAGTAATCTATATTTGTATCAAATCACAGCTCATTAAACATTTCTAAAATGCTTAGTACATTAACTAGTGAAATCTCTAGTGACCATTTTCAATAGCTGCCTTGTCAGAGGATAGGGCTAAGCATGTAAAAAACCTGATAGCCTGAACTTTCATTTACTACTTTAAACTAAAAAAGGAGGGCATCCTTAGTCATTGAGGATTAATGAGACCAAACAGTTTAAATATAAAGCTGCTGGATTCTGATAAATGCTGACTACATTTGGGGTGGTTCCCAGTGATTTACACCTGGGCCTAGTGTTTTTACTCATTTCAGCAGATTCAGGTTATAAATGATGTGTACCAGTACTCTATTTGCATAACCTTCTACAACGGCCAAACCTGACTTTGCTTAACAGCTGTGATGCTGTCTGCACCTAAGGTGAGCACATGCCAACCACAGCAGGCCACAGTTTGCATTAAAATACCAGCTTTTCTTTTAAAAGAAAAAGCATTGACCAAATTCTCCTCTTTAAGAATTTTAAAATATTTTAAGATTATGTCCCAAACTTTGGGAAGTCCGATGACCTTTGCGTACCATTTTAGTTCTCTTTTAAAGTTTCCTCAATGCTTCTTTATAGGTATATTTTAAAACACTGAACAATGAAAGGGCTATTTCAACAACTAAAAAGAGACCAGCATGGACAAGATCTATAGTAAAATCAGAGCATTCTAACTAACATCCATTTGGAAGGACATCACCAGTTCAAAAAGTAAAACTCCAATCTGCTGAAAAACTTCAGTATGTTAAAAAGTCAAGCTAAACGTACTATTTCAGAAATTCGCCTACGTTTTCATTTCAAAAAGCCACAAACTAATATCATAAACACTCAGATGTGATACACTGATGAAAACTAGAAACCGATTCCTCAACAGCTCATCTGAATGACTCTCGACAAGACAAAATGCCTACGAGACATATTAAGAGAACTACACAAGTAACCTTAACAATCTTCGATGATTTATATTCAAAATGGGCAACGAGCCTTTTCCTCGCAACAGTCAACCTTCGCCTTCACTTGCACAGCATCAAACTCTAGTTTTTACTATGCACTCTCCGACGGCTCTCAGAACTATCAAGCCAAAACGTCGAGACTGCAGTTTCCTTCTCCCCACTTCAGCGGCCCCAGGTGCCATGTTCATCAGAGTGGTCAGTGTCAGCCCCACCACCAGCCCTCCCAAACTGGACAACTGCGGGGAAACTGCCGAAAACTGCCCCCTTTTCTGGTGCCGCCTGAAAGAGAACGTTCCCCAGCGCGGAGGGCAGAGGAGATGCGAAGAAAAGCCAGTCGAAGAGCAGACCCTGGAACTGTTAAGTGCCCAAAAGTAGGGGCGAGAAGAAGTGCAGCCCCCGGCCTCTCCTCCCAGGATGCGCCGGACCCGCCGCCTCTCCCGCCCGCCAGATCGACACGTAGTCATTGCCGACTTAGGCCCGACTGCTGTAGGATACTCTCCAAACTCAGGCTATCCCCGAATTCTTTGTGTGCCTTCGACCCAGCCGAAGGCCGCTCGTTTTCCTTATTTTCCTCTCCTCCGGCGCTGCGTCCACCACCGCTACCGCCGCTGCCCCCGCCGCTAGTGCCGCCTCCGCCGCCGCCTCCGGGAACCTGCTTCTCAGCAGCCATCTTGCCCCTGCGCCGCAGAGCAGGACGGGATAGAGGAGGCGAGACGACGCGGGTGGAGAGCCCGGCCGGCTCGGACTGGCTGACGGGATAGCGGCGGACTCAGCCGCCTACGGCCCTGCCCGCAGGCAACGGCCACTTGCGGTAGCGCCCCTGCGCGTGGACGCCGATTCTGGGTCTGCAGCAGTGGCGGGATTAGGGCTGGGGGCCCTGTAGGCGCGAGGACGCTGTAGCTGTTAAGGTCTCTTGGAGGCAGCCTTCCTTGGATGGAGGGCCCTGAGATGCTCCGCCCGCCCGCACCTCCTGCATCCCTGCGCGGGAGACCCCGTTGGATAAGACCTTTGCTTTCCGGAGTGTCTTCCTCCCTGGGAACCTGGGAGATGGGATTCCCACCCTAAGGAAGGAAACACCCCGCCTGGGAGGGAACAGCCTCTGTCTGCGCCGTCCTCTGGAGCCGGCCGTAATGCAGGAACTCTCAGCTGCATGGGGATCTGTGCCCTTCTTTGGACTTTGGGGCGCGCTTGAGCAGTCCGAGCAAAGAGAAGTGTTGAAGTGTGGAAGACTGTGAACCTTTGCTCTGCAATATGGCACTGCGAGCTCTAATTCTAGCTCTGTCGTCACGACTGGGAGATGTTGGGCAAATAGCCGAATCTGTCTCTAAACCTTTCTTCCCTCATCTGTGAATGTGTGAAAGTGGCACAGTCGTGTCCGACTCTTGGTGACCCTATGGACTGTAGCCCGCCAAGCTCCTCTGTCCATAGAATTCTCCAGGCCAGAATACGGGAGTGGAGTGGGTAGCTGTTCCCTTCTCCAGGGGATCTGCCTGACCCGGGGATGGAACACAGATCCCGCATTGCCAGCAGATTCTTTACCGACTGAGCCACCAGAGAAGCTCCAATTAGGACTGTTACGAAGACTAAATGAAATGCTGCATTTTTGAAGTAAGTCTGCAGTAATCATTAGAAAGGAGAGTGTTAGTCAGTCAGTCATGTCCAACTCTTTGTGACCCCATGGACTGTAGCCCGCCAGGTTCCTCTGCCCATGGGATTTCCCAGGCAGGAATACTGGAGTGGGTTGCCATTCCTTTCTCTAGGGGATGTTCCCGACCCAGGGATCGAACCTGGGTCTCCTGCACTGCAGGCAGATTCTTTACCATCTGAGCCACCAGATGTTAGGCACTAATCATTCAGTTCAGTTCAGTTCAGTTCAGTGGCTCAGTCGTGTCCAACTCTTTGCGACCCCATGAATCGCAGCACGCCAGGCCTCCCTGTCCATCACAAACTCCCAGAGTTTACTCAAACACATGTCCATGTGACCACATGTCGAGTCAGTGATGCCATCCAGCTGTCTCATCCTCTGTCGTCCCCTTCTCCTGCCCCCAATCCCTCAATCCCTCCCAGCATCAGGGTCTTTTCCAGTGAGTCAACTCTTCTCATGAGGTGGCCAAAGTATTGGAGTTTCAGCTTCAGCATCAGTCCTTCCAATGAACACCCAGGACTGATCTGCCTTAGGATGGACTGGTTGGATCTCCTTGCAGTCCAAGGGACTCTCAAGAGTCTTCTCCAACACCACAGTTCAAAAGCATCAATTCTTCGGCACTCAGCTTTCTTCACAGTCCAACTCTCACATCCATACATGACCACTGAAAAAACCTTAGCTTTGACTAGACGGACTTTTGTTGGCAAAGTAATGTCTCTGCTTTTTAAAATGCTATCTAGGTTGGTCATAACTTTCCTTCCAAGGAGTAAGCGTCTTTTAATTTCATGGCTGCAATCACCATCTGCAGTGATTTTAGAGCCCCCAAAAATAAAGTCTGACATTGTTTCCACTGTTTCCCCATCTATTTCCCATGAAGTGATGGGACCAGATGCCATGATCTTAGTTTTCTGAATGAATCATTAGGGAAATGCAAATCAAAACCACCATGAGCCATCACTTCACATCCATTAGAAGGGCTGCTATTGTTAAAATAACAGTACTAGAAAATAACATGTATTGGTGAGGATATGGAGAAATTGTAACTGCAGCACTTTTAGTGGAAATATAAAGTGGTACATCCACAGTGGAAGACAGTGTGGCAGCTCTTCAGGATATTAAAAGAAGTACCATATGCTCCAGCCATTCCACTCCTGGGTATATGTGCAAAAGAACTAAAGGCAGGGTCTTGAGCTACTTGTACACCAACGTTTATACCAGCATTAACAATAGCCAGCAGATGGAAGCAACTCAGTGGTCCTCAAGGAATAAGCAAAATATGGTCTAATCCCTACAATGGAATATTATTCAGCCTTAAAAAGGAAGGAAATTCTGACACTGCTACAACATGATTGAAGTTTGAAAATATTGTGCTAAGTAAGCCAGTCATCCAACGACAGACATGGTAGGATTCCACTTATATGAGGTATGTAGTGTAGTGAAATTCATAGAAAGTAGAATGGTGGTTGCCAGGGGCTGGAGGAAGGGGAAATGGTGAGATAGTGTTTAATGTGTATAGAGTCTCAGTTTTGCAAGATCAAAAAGTTCTGGAGATTGGTTGCACACCAATGTGAATATTCTTTTTTTTTTTTTAAATATTCTTAACATTACTGAACTGCACACAAAATGTTTAAGGTGGCAAACTGTTTTTTATATTTTACCATGACTAAAAATAATTTCTAGGGAATTCCCTAGTAGTCCAGTGGTTAGGACTCTACACTTTCACTGCCAAGAGCGTGGGTTCAGTCCTTGGTTGAAGAACTAAAAGATCCCACAAGCCATACAATATGGCCAAAGTTTTTTTTAAAAAATTAAAACAGTTCCGTTGCTCAGTCATGTCCAACTCTGCGACCCCATGGACTGAAGCACGCCAGGCTTCCCTGTCCATCACCAACTCCCGGAGCTTGCTCAAATTCATGTCCATCGAGTTGGTGATGCCATACATCTATCTTATCCTCTGTTGTTCTCTTTTCTTGCCTTCAGTCTTTCCCAGCATCAGGGTCTATTCCAGTGAGTTAGTTCTTCGCATCAAGTGGCCAAAGTATTGGTGTTTCAGCTTCAGCATCAGTCCTTCCAATGAGTATTCAGGATTGATTTCCTTTAGGATGGCCTGGTTGGATCTCCTTGCAGCCCAAGGGACTCTTCAAGTCTTCTCCAACACCACAGTTCAAAAGCATCAATTCTTCGGCACTCAGCTTTCTCTATAGTCCAACTCTCACATCCATACATAACTACTGAAAAAACCATAGGTTTGACTAGATGGACCTTTGTTGGCAAAGTAAAAAAAATAATAGTTTTTTTAAAAAAGTAAGTATGGGACTTCCCTGGTAGTCGTGGTTAAGACTCCGAACTTCCTGCTCTGAACCAGCAGGGGGCACTGGTTCAATCATGTCTGGTTAGGGAACTGAGATCCTACATGGCCGGGGGTGACGGCAAGGAGGGGTGGTGGGGAGAAGGGGGAAAAAAAAAAGTCTCCTAAATGTCTATCAACAAAGGAATTGGATAAACAAAATGTAATTATTACACAATGGGACATTATTTGGCCATAAAAAGGAATGAAGTACTTACTGATAACATTGCAGATGAATCTTGAAAACTTTAGGCTAAGTGAAAGAAGTTATACACAAAAGGTCACTTGTGTGATTCCATTCATATAAAATGTCTGGAACAGGCAAAGCTATAGATTCAAGTGGGGAAGAGGAGCCCAGGGAAAGTTCGGGGCTCGTGTAGGAGTGCTTATCAAGAAAAGAAAATGCCCTTCTGGAAACTCCAACCTGTAATTAACTGACAGCAAGAACCTTTCAGAGCTTCCCTAAAGGCTCAAGTGGTAAAGAGTCTGCCTGCAAAGCTGGAGACCCAAGAGGCTTGGGTTCGATCCCTGGGTAGGCAAGAGCCCCTGGAAGAGAAAATGGCCTGGAAAAATCCTGTGGGGTGGCTGGAAAAGAGATTATATACATAGAGACAGAAAGAGTGGTGGACTCAGGTTAAAAGGTGATTTCTTTTGGCAGGAACAAAAATGTCTCAAGATTGATTGTGGTGCTGTTTGCACAACTTAGTGACTATACTAAAAAGCAAATAAACACTGTATATGAGTAAACTGCATGGTGTGTGAATTATATTGCAATAAAGCCTTTTTTTTTTTTTAAGTAAGATCATGTTTAGTCCTCTGGTCAAAACTCTGCCATTGCTTCTCTTTTTACTCCGACTAGAAGCCTTCCTCACAATGGAAAAAATCCTGCATGCTGTGCCTCTCACGTTCTCTCCTACCAATCTCCTTGTTCATTCAACTCAAGCCATACCTCCTCCTTGCTTAGGGACACAAACACACTCCTGCTTTAGGGCCTGTGCACTGGCTGTTCTATCTGGAATTCAAGTCCCTTAGATATCAGCTAGGCTAGCTCCCTCTCCTCATTTAAGTCTTTGCTCAAATGTTACCTTCTTAATGAGGTCTGCTTGACCACCCCATTTTCAATTGCACCATCACCTCCACTCCAGTACTCCTAGTTCAGTCACTCTATAATTTACTTTTCCTGCAAGTACTTATCAACTGATTAATAACTTGAGTTACATTTATTGTCTCTCTCCCCTGCTAGAAAGGAAGCTCACAAAGGGCCTTGATCTTTGTAGAGCTCACTGGTAAGTCCCAAGGACCCAGAACAGTGCCTGGAAATGAGTAGGTGCTCTATAAATGTGTATTGAATAAATGAATGGCAAGCATCTCAGAAAAATGAATGGTTATTGTCTTCCTAATCCATGAATAAGCAGGCAGGGTAGAGGTGTGAATAAGCTTTCCTTACTGAGAGGAGCAAACAGCTGGGCTTCTGAGGCTGAGGTTCTGGGTGAGGGTGAGTGGAAAAAGGAAGTTTTTGACTAGGACCCCAGGAACAGGACTGGAGAAGGAAATGGCAATCCACTCCAGTATTCTTGCCTGGAGAATCCCATGGACAGAGAAGCCTGGCCGGGCTACAGTCCATGGGGTCACAAAGAGTTGGACACGACTGAGCTACTAAACCACCAACATGTCAACA